TATCCCCCTTTTTTCCTTACTTTTGTCAGAGGTGAGTATTCCACGGCCATTCAAATGTTGCAGATGCATGAATTCAGCAAAATAATCCAATATAGTTCAGCAGGAATCAGGTCTTATTTTGTAAAGTTTTGAGTTTTGATTTGGTTATTCCTACTACCTACCTACACACATGTGCAACAAATACTGACTGAGGGCTACCATGTGCCAGGCAGTAGAGGTAAACAGCACTAAAGACATATCAAGAAAAGAAGAAAGCTCTCTAGCTTTAAGTAGCTGTGATTCAACGAGGAAAGAGGGAGAGGGAGGAATAGGAATGAACACAAACATGCTTTGTATAATGGTATAAGAAAGTCTTCATTATATTAGGCTAAGATTATCTGAAAATCACCTTTTAAGAACTTTGCTACTTACCATGTGCTCTGTTCACAAACTGTTAGTGGCATATTAGGAGATAAGTACAGAAAATGAGAATAAACATGTAGAAAATTATACTACTTGAATTTGCTGACATTCAAGTGGGATAATTTTGCTGGTAACCCAATTTTATTTTTTACCATGTTTTATAAAACATAAGAAGACAATTCACAATACGGCACAACAAGCAATAAGGATTGCTCCTCACCAGAGATGGTGTGAGCAGCACTGGCCTTGAGGATACACAGGGCCAGTCTTAGGAGGTGTATGGAGCACTGTGATTTGAAACTATAGCTATGGACCATGGACAAGGGGCAATATATGGACTAAAAACACCCCAACAACAGGAAAGTGAGGCGTAGGTTTGCTCTTTTGCTCTCTTCTCATATATGTAAAATGAGGAAAACAATTACATGGTAATGGGAAACTGTAGCACTGATGATTAATGTATAGTTGATTTCAAAAGAGGTGACCCCAGAACTACTTCTGGTTGTGTGGAATTATTATCAATTGCAATAATATACTTCAACTGCTTACATAATGTACCTTAGCAGCAAAACCAGTATAATTTAATATCCCTGTCTTTATTTTTATTTTTATTTTTCAGAACCAGGGATTGAACTCAGGTCCTTGGGCTTGCCAGGTAAGCACTTATTCAACTGATCCATCTCTCCAGCCCCTTTATTTTTATTTTTTTTTTAAGACAGGGTATTGCTAAATTACCTAGGCTGGTCTTAAAATTGCAATTCTTCCATCTCAGCTTCCCATAATGCTACAATTATAGGTATGCACCACCACACCCAGGTAAGTATAGTTTTTTTAGCCACTTTGTTTTAATTACTGCAATAAAACCTATATATTTGGTGTTAAAGTTTTGCAGTTTGCCATTCATACAACATGGTTAAAAATTGACTTTATTACAAGACTTAAAGAACCTTGCAAGCATACCAAACTGCTTGGGGAAAGTGGTAAAAATAATGATGGGCTAGGGAGGAGTTTTGTGAAAGATTAAGATTTTTTTCTTAATGTATTTAGTACAGGGTCTACAGAGTCTCACTACATAGATTGGACTTATAGTGATCCTCCTATTTTTAGCCTCCCAAGCACTGAGATTATGCGTGGGCGTGCACCACCATGCCCAGTCTCAATCACCCTCTCAGGGCACCCTAGGGGTGGGGCAGGCACTGGCATATGGAGCCAGGGATTGAACCCCAGTCCCTGTGCCTGCCTAAGCAGGTGTTTTAATCCACTGAGCTATCTGGCTGGCTAGGATTAAGTTTTTAAAAATAATTTCAAAAGCTAAATTTCTTATGGCCAATTTATGTTGATTTCTATTTCAACTGGATGTCAGCTATACTACTGACCATATGATTAACTTTTTCTTTTATAGATGTTTCTAGTCAGAATCCTAAGTACAGGGATATTCTGGCTTTTGGAGAAATAACAGAGCAGAGCCTTGACATTATACTAAAAGCACAAAATATATTTTAACAGAGTACAGATATGGAAATTCCATATAACTAACGGAAATAATTCAAGTAATAATAGGTGCTGCAACAGTTTTTAAGTTATTCCTATTTCAGTTTAGAGTGGATAACACAAATTGTTACACTGGAAAATGAACTCAAGGAAGGACAAATGAGCATCAGTAAAGAAGACCAATAAATACTCTATGACCCACAGATTGCCAAACTATAACACACAGACCCAGTTTAGTCAAGTTTTACTGGAACACAGTCATACTTCTTTATTTCTATATCATCTATGGAGGCTCTCACGCCCTAACAGCAGTGGAGAGTTTTGATCTAAAGCCTAAAACATGGACTATCTTCCTCTTTGCAGAAAATATTTCTAATCCCTTCCCTAATGCATCCCAGTTTCCCGAAAAAAAAAAAAAAA